ATACTAAATGTGTAACAATATTACGTTAAAAGTGTGACACTGTTGACACGGTAAAAGTGTAGTGATGTCACGTTTTATTCTGAGTCATACTAAATGTGTAACAATATCATGCTAAACGTGTGACTATATTACGGTAAAACCATGACATCCAGTTTTTACCGTAACATTGCTACACTTTTAGCATGATATTGTTACACATTTACCGTAACATTTCGGGACAGTGTGGGCTGTATGTTTAATTAAAACAAAATTTTAATCCTATCATATCATATCAGTATGATATGTAGCATATATAGCCCTATTGTGAGATCATCTGTTTTAAAAGTATTTATTAGTGTCATAAGATCCAATTGATCAGCGCCAGCTGACCTCTCTCCATTGTACGCAGCGACACCACACATCTAGACAAGTATGAGGGCATTACGCAGCTCGGGGAAGTTAGACCATATATTTGTGATTATAGAGACCTTCAATAGCTGAAGATAGATATGGTTATACTGCTCACTTGCTTCGGTTTATGCTCAGAATATGTAACCATTGGATAGACCAATAAAATTTGGTCAGTAAAAATAGTCGTCACCACCACTAAAGCAATTGTTTACATTTTTTTCCACTGTAATTTTTCTACTATTGTTTCACTTATATATGCAGTTGTAGTGAAAAATGTTTTATATTCTCCAAAATATTCTTGACTTATTGATATCATTTAATAGAATTATCGTTGCTTTTTTTCTCCGCATCACTTAATTTATTTAATCTTTACACAAGAGTTTTATCTAAACATGCACCTATGCAGTCTTTAAAAAATAAACATAAGAAACTAGAAAAAATGATTTTATATAAATAAAAACTAATTAAAAAAAATAGTCACGTTGTAAACAAATTTGACTAGATTAACTATAATTTTATCTTATGAAAGATATCTTTCATATGTAGAATACAATGAAAGAAACTGGTCTATGGTGACCAAGACAGATAAAATACCTCATACCATCACATTTTCCGAGTGTTTGGTTCATCGAAATAAAGAAAAAAAAAATGTAGTATTTTATCGCGTCATTAAATAAATAGATGACAATAAAAACTAGCTAGCTCATCGCATATTTTACTTTTTACTACGCAAATTTTTTTTTTGTGAATACTTGTCGAAAAGAAAATATGAAATGTTTGAGTATACGTGAGTGAGAGGAGATTCATATTGTAGAAGAAATGCAATAATACTTGTTTACATTTTCTTCCATTGTAATTTTTTCACTGTTGTTTGACTTCCGCATAATTGACATTCGACCATCCATAAACGATTTTTTTTTAATAAATTTGTATTGACTGATCGACACGTTTTACACATAACATATTCATTTAAAAATTTATTCAATGCTTTATTCATTTGTTGTGTATTTGTTCTTGTATTCAATATTAACTGTTGATTTTTATTTAAAGATGTTTGACATTCATATAATTCTTCTAAATATTGTTGAAAATATTTAATATCACGATTAATTAATTTACATAATTTTTGATATGATGTCCAATTTGAAACAATCGTTCGACTTTGTCCAATTAATAATTGAGCACACGGTAATACAATACGTTGACGTTGACGTAAAAGAAATTCTGGACGATCAATTTCTAATTGATTTAATGCACGTTTTAACAATGATTCATAATCATAAAAATCATTTTCTTGTTCATTATTTAATATTGTTAATGAATTATTATCACTACGTCTTTTTTTCTTTAACATAATTGTATCATTAACATCGTCATTTGTAGTAACAGATATATTGTTGTGATCATTTGATGGTACAACATCAGTATTGTTCGTTGTTGATTGACTAATGTTACTATCACAATCTGAAATTTTTTCATCTTCTAGATGAATTAATTTGTTTACTTTTGATTTCGTTGAAAATAAATTTTTAATTCTTTTTATGAATGTATTGTTGTTATTCTGTTCGACTAAGGACAACAACGATTGTGATAATGGTAGTGTTGATGTTGAAATTGACGAGCTTTGACTATTTGTTCTACTACTTCTTCGGGATGTATGTCCACTATAACATGATTGTTCGTCTGAAAGTGATTGACCGGTCGTTGTCAAATAACTATGAGTAAAATAATCAACACTTGTGCACATAACTATGACGAAAAAAACAAAATGGTCTTTATATAAGAAGAGAAATGATTAAATGAGAGTGAAAAAGATGAAAAGAAGTCGATAAATACTGTTGATATTGTTTTCTAGAATGTTCTGTAACTATAAAAAAATGTAATAGGAATCTGACAGATAATGATATATCTCTTTTTCATGTATGAACATTGTCTACATCTGATTTGAACCGAATCAACCCGATTAATGGACAGAGCATATCAAAAGGCGACATTTTCACATATAATATCGAACAAACAGCATATATAAAAAGACGTATCTCTTTATTTGCTAGATTTTTATTCACTAGTCACATAATCGTAATCTTTGAGATGAAACATTTTAAAGATAATAAAATATTTTACTTGAAAAATATCAATATTTCTAAGATAGATGATATAGTTATTTGTATTGAGTTGTTGTTATTCATAAGATTTTGAACTGTGGTATGGGGGATGTATTATCACATTTGATCAGCTGAAGAAGATGGAAATAAAGCTGAATTCTAAAAATATCCGCAGTATTTATATATATATTTATGCAATGAAACATGTGAACGGAAAATCGTAGAGAAATTGAAGAGAAAAAAAAAACAGAGCGTTGTACAAACATGATGTTTTTTTGTTTTGTTCTTTGTAAGCGAAAACTAGTAGTATAGAGAGAAAGTATTTTTTTCTTCTCTTTTCTTTGCTTCTTATTTCTATGCTATACGAAGTTGATCTGCAATAATATTTCTCCGACGGAAAAATTAAGCATCGTGTACTTTAATGTTTACTATTCATAGAATAACATGTAATTTTGAATGTGTTATCTCTTTTTTTTTGCTTATCATACGATTAGAGACCTGCAACTCGACCCGAGATCAGGTTTAGGTTTGACTATGAAATCTATTGAGCTCGAAATTTTCTTCAATGACACTTTCCTTTTTTTTAATGAAATGTTCAACACTAGAGTCGATCAGTTTTTAAGCGTTCTTTTAGAAAACAAACAGGAAACAGTATTTTTGGGCTTTTTTCCGTCAAAAAAGCTCAAACTTTTAACTAATTGTCAGGTTGGGTTCGGCTTTGATAGATCCAACCCGCGCAGTACTCTACATACGATCCTCACAACATAGAACGAGTCATCGTTTTGTCACGTTATCGTCAAACAAATGCTTAATGTACTTTTTACTCACATTGTTAAATATATAATCCATATTCAAAGCTATTAACGAAAATGAAATTGGAAAAAAGTAACTATATGATGTAACAAAAAATATTAACGATCAATACTTGTAAAAAGGTACAGCAATAATCTTTGTCTTAGATGCCAACTATTTTATCTACGTCTGATACCATTTACTGTCAACAAGCTCAAAATTTGACCACCATCTTTACTGTTCTTAAATGACCTTAACTTTCTTAATCACTTCATATCCTCCCTCATTCCCAAAAGATATTTTTATCAATTTCTACGACTGATACTTGACTTTTTTTTGTAGAAATTTAGCTCATGTACACAAAAGAATGATTGTAAGAGGAGACTATTCAGCCGAGAATATGATCGATAGAGAATACTAATTCCCTATAGTTAATCGAAAATTATAATGTTTGTTCACAAAATATTTTCGACAAACTACAATTAGGAAGATATTGTATTAGTATCCACTGGAAATTATACTGTCACTCAAAGTATACTGCAGAAATAAAAAGCCACCTCTTTTCATTCAAAATCTAAATTATTCGCTAGAAATAGTCAATTTTTTGAGACCTTCATGAAATAATGTTGAAATGTTGGTTAACTGTTAAAAAGTAAGTATGTATACCTCTGTCTATGAAAAAGATGCAGATATTTAACGTTGTTAAACAATCATTGTGTTAAGATCTTACACACAACAGCAAAAGCTATGGTGAATTTTCAAAAATTTACATCAGGAACTGGTGACTTTACTTGAGTTCGAAGAATATTTACATCAAAAGGAACCAGCCGATCTGTAAATCATTAACAGAATAATGGTATAGAAGACGACGAAAAGAACTGAATAATAGATTGCACTCTTTCAATATCTACGTCTTGCATTCTACTATCTAAGAGAGAAGAAAGGGAAAAGAAAATACCACATTTTTTTCTTCTCTATAGAATTACTTTTAGATTTCTCTTATGACTTGTACATTGTTGCGATTATTTATCTCTGAAAGTTTTCTGCACGACACCTTCACTAAGATAAAAACGTCCATAACAAGCTTAATTAATATGAAAAAATATTCGCATGCGTCCAGACATTTTGGAAGTTGATATGAAGCATTCTATATAAAAGAAAAACTATCGGGTGGCCCCAATAAAATGGGACACTTTTATTCGTTGTTTTTAAGGCGCTGCCTAGTGGTCCAGCGAGTTCGTTCTAAGCTCAATCGATAGAGAATTGAATTCTCTACAAAACCTGTTATTTGAATCTCTGACAGCATTTTTCTCATTTGAGTACCATTCAATATTCTGGATGGTGCTGAGTTGTCGAACTGCGACGAATGCTTTTATCGTCTCATTTTTTGAGATTTTTAGCCTATTGTCTAGGGATTTAATAGTTAATTTTTCTAGATAGAAAGATAGAGAATATTGTGCGCTATCGATCTCACTCATTTACAACTTCATACAATGTTTTCACTACGTCAACTGGACTCATAATTAGTTCTCAACTGGCTTTTTAATTTCTTCAAATTAAATTAATTTTTTTAATTAATATTTTCAATTGAGAAACTTTGTTTATATATTAGAAGATGCAGAATTTAATTCTGTGTAAGATAATTAAACTGAAACCCTGAATTCAGAACGTTTTACTGCTTTTATAGCTAACCCTTTACGGCCGGGTGTTGACTACCGGTAACATTGATCTATTAAGTGTCGAAGGAATTTCGTTCTAAAAGAATACACTTTGCCGATCCCTGTCACAGCAAAACAATAAATATAAAGGGAGGAATATTTTTATTAGTTTTTTGGCAGCCAACAGAAAAGGAATATGCACAGAAAGGGATATTGTTACTAAATGGCTATGCAGTCGGCCGTAAAGGGTTAAAAAACTAAAGATCAAATAGCAGATTTTGTAGAGAATTCAATTCTCTATCGATTGAGCTTAGAATGAACTCTTTGGACCACTGGGCAGTGGCTCAAAAACAACGAAGAAAAGTGTCCTATTTTATCTGTGCTATCCGATAAAAATAATAGAACATAGTATAGCTGATTAAGCCCTTAGCGATCAAAACAAAATGGTAAATATGAAAGAACAATGCCTGATTTATTATCTCTGATGTATTATTAATTGTTTTATTTAACAATGATTGAATTCTGTTTGGATAAGTAAAATATAATCTTATTTTCTATCTTTTCAATTTTCTTTTTAACACCTTGACGGAACATATGGTAATAATAGAGCATATTTGATATCTTCTTCTTCCTTCTTTCGATCTGTATTACTTTGTTGAGTTGTACTCGACGTACTCGATTTTATCGTATTTTGGATGGTATTATCAATTTCACGTTTTGGATAATCAGAATTCAATAGTATTTGTTTTAATCTATTTTAATATTCAATTTGTTTCTTGGTATCTGTTATTGTCTGTCGTTGTTTGTATAATCGTTTGTGACCTATTTAATGAATTATTCTTTTTAATCGGTTTGTGGTGCCAAGAGTTATAATTCAATAGCCAATCAGCTGCTGTTTGTTTGTGGTACCATCGAACATGGATTGCATTACTCATACCATCACTGAGTTTAGTTAATGCTGTTTTGTTGTGAGTGAATTAATTTTATTATTAACTTGATTTATTCTGCTGTAAATCTAATATTGCTTTTTATTTTGTTCAATTGTACGACATAATCTTGTGACCCTGATTCATTCATTGTTGTTATTACCAGTATATCATCCACATATGGCTATGCTTAATGTGTAATTAACTGTAGATAAATGGTTATTCGTATAATTATTCATGTATAAATCTGCCAATAGCGGTGAACTATTCCTCATTGGTAATCCTCTTCTTCAGCGATAAAATTTACCGTTAAATAGTCGAATAACTATTGTTTTAAAGGTTAACTTATTATTAATTGTTTTTCTCAATTGTTTGATTATTAAATACAGAAATTTGGATAATGATGATAACATTGCATAACGGGAACAAGGGACGATTCTTACTATTATCCATTTCAAAAAAGAAAGACCATGGCCATTTGTTTAATAACTTTTTCTAGGATGTAGCTACGGAGCTGCGGTTTTCACTAATCGAAAGAAAAATGTTGGGGCAATA